GGAAAAATTAGAGACCTACTGGAAACAGAGTCCTGAGGAAAGCTATCCAGTTTGTATCCTCCCCTTTGTTAGGTCCTGCAAGAGAAACAAACCTTTGAAGTTTACAGGAGATATTACAAAAGCAGTAGACTTCCAGAAAGCAACTATTTTCTCCTTGTACATTTCTCCTGCATCCCTTATCACCAGAAAGGATTAGACAGAAATACTACCGTGGCTGAGATTGCCAGCTTTCTGATGAATAAATAAATAAATAATAATAAAAAAAAGTAAACTGCTAATATATAAGTGACTGGAACAGGTGCCAACAAGTAAAATCATCTGCCTTGAAGTGTTAGAGCCTCACTGAAACCTAGACTTTTCCAGGCTGACAGAGGCATACCTAGAGAATACCATGAGCTATGTTGGGTCTGAATGTGATTAGGCAGATTTAACAAAATATCAGGCATGGTTTTGAGAGAAAAAGCTTTGGGTTTTGGTCTACTGGAAGCTTTTAGGTAAGATTGGATATAACCAATCTTTAAATCTGATTCCACTCCTTTAACCTAACAGAGTTTTGTTCTTTAATCTGGAGTAATAATCAGAAAAACACACATATATATGGTTATGTTTTAAAGTGGTAAAAGACATGAGTGACACATATGCATTTTTAAGATTTTGTCTGAAAAGGAAAAAAGGAAAACTTACTCTTTCCTAAACCACTAGGGGAAAGATCCAAGACTTTTGCTTCAACTGCTGTTGAGACTGGCCTTCAGAGGATTCTTTCTTACTTGTTTTCTTACTCTATCTTACTTTCTTACTTTATCTTGTCATGTTGACCCATCACAGCAACCTTTATTATCGTCATCAGCAGAATAAGAAGTTATGTCATGATCTGTAACCATAGCAACAGAAGCAAGCAATTGAATTTTCTGGATGAAATATATCCATCACAAGTTGCACTAAGTGTTCAGATGTAGTCATAAGGAAAAACTTGGGAAAGGAGGACAGATTTAGATCTTTAATAGCTGCCACAGCTTAGTGAGAGGTGTCTGTTTCCTTTCCCATAAATAAATAATTAAATAAACAAAACAAAACACAACAAAAACCTAGGTTTTACATGCTTTCTTTTTTTTCTTTTTTTTCTTTTTTTTTCCAATCTTTTTGCTCTTTCTCTGTCCTTAAAATACAGTATTACTAAAGGTAATAAAAACTGGAGTTGTTATCACAGAGAATCTTTTTCAATGACGGGTTGGAAAAATGGATACTTTCAATTAAAACACTGCTGAAAATAGAAAATAAAATAGAAGTGACTAGTTGGTCACTTCCTTATTCTTTTTATTTGCCAGTCAGTGTTATAAGAAGCCACATTAACATATACTGAATTGCATATACATTCAGCATCGTCTCACAAAATTCCTCGAATATTTGATGGTCTTCAAAATTCTTTTCTCTAACATTCTCAAAATCACTCTATCATCCTCCTCCAGGAATGATTTATAGAAGGCTTCCTTAATTAGGCAAAAAAAATATTACCAAATCACTTGAGAGAAAAAAAAATGATAAAGGATTTAATAGAAGATTAACCATTTCAATTAACTATTAACCAAGATAATCATATATTAGTCACATTTGTCTCTTCTATTGCACTGACAGGGCCTTTCCAGAAGTATACACAGAAAGTATGCTTCTTCAGTCATGCTATATTTGCATCAATAGATCTACCTAAGTAGCCTTCTATACCTTAATATATATATACCTTTTTTTCTTTTCTTTTTTTATTTTTCTTACAGATACAGACATACAGCTCTTTTTGCATGCAATCCTTGTATTTTATCATTATTATTTCTTAGTGTATTCTCGAGTGTCCTCAAAAAGCCTGCTGCAAGAGCCACAGCGTTAGCACATGTCATCAGTCCTCCCAGATGTTGGGTTTCAGGCAGAGAAGACAACTGGAGACGAATGCATGAACTGGGAAAGCATATAGCACAAATGCTCTCACAGTGAATGCTTAATAATAACAACTGTAGGCATGTTCTTGTTTGACCTCAAGATCTTTCCTCCAGGTATATGGAAGATGTAATCCTGTCAGAAGCATATTTTTCCTCCTTTTTATGTACTACTATATATATCCATCCATATATATATATATATATATATATACATACATATATATGTACTACTATATATATACATCCATTTATCAACATGTCCATCATTTATCAACAGTCCTGGCTATTGGGGGAGGTCCCAGTTGACTGGCAGCTAGCAAATGTGATGCCCATCTGCAAGAAGAGACGGAGGGTAGACCTGCGGAACTTTAGGTCTGTCAGTTTGACCTCAGTGCCAGTGAAGCTCATGGAGCAGATTGAGTGTCATCACACAGCACTTACAGGGCAACCAGGTGATTAGGCCCAGTCAGCATGGGTTTATGAAAGGCATGTCCTGCTTGACGAACCTTATCTCCTTCTATGACAAAGTGACACACTTGGTGGATGAGGGAAAGGTTGTGAATGTGGTCTACCTTGACTTCAGTAAGGCTTTTGACACTGTTTCCCACAACATTCTCCTCAAGAAACTGGCTGCTTGTGGCTTGGACTGGCGTACACTTAGTTGGGTTAGAAACTGGCTGGATAGCCAGGCCCAAAGAGTTCTGGTGAATGGAGTCATTCTTATCAGTCTATAAGTACATTAAAGGAGGCTGTAGTAAGGTGGGAGTTGGTCTATTCTCCCATGTGCCTGGTGACAGAATGAGGGGGAATGGGCTAACGTTGTGTCAGGGGTGTTTTAGGTTGGATATTAGAAAAAAAAAAAAAAAACTTCTTTACTGAAAGGGTTGTTAGGTATTGGAATGGGCTACCCAGGGAAGTGGTGGAGTCACCATCCCTGGAGGTCTTTAAAAGACGTTTAGATGTTGAACTTAGTGATATGGTTTAGTGGAGGACTTGTTACTGTTAGGTCAGAGGTTTGACTGGATGATCTTGAGGTCTCTTCCAACCTAGACAATTCTGTGATTCTGTGATATATATATATATATATATAATATACGTATGTATATATATATAATATACATATGTATATATATATATATACACATATATATGTAATAAGTACAGCTAAGACCATTCAGAATATAAAGTATATAACTCATTTGTTTTGGAAAGTTTTCTGACATCTCTATATTGTATGTTCACCACCCACTTCACAGTGGAACAGAACCATCTCTTCCCAAAATGTCATTTTGTGGTTCTCAAATGGAGTGGATTTTTGACTTCCATCAGCCTGGTTTGCATTTGCATCCTGTGTGGCCTTATTTCAAACTAAAAACATATGACAAAGCTATTCCATAGTTGAGAATATTTCATCCTGTGCCTACATTATGTCCCATTCCTCAAAGTTAAAAAAAAAAAAAATTAAAAAAATCACAGCTAATCTAACAACCTTTCCACTGTAACAGAGGCAGAGTTTTATCTACACAGCTCTTCCTGTTCCAATTGCAAAAATATAATTTCCTATTTACATCAGGATGATCATTGGTGCTGAGGTCAAAGTTATCTCATAGGCTTTATGTTACTAAAACCTGAAGTTGATCTCAAGAAACAAATTTACATTTGAGTCTGGATAAAGTTTTGCAGTCCCCCAAAGTAACTCTGTAAAACACATGAAGGCAAAAGAATATAAGAAGTGGAGGGAGAATGTAACACAGTACAGGAGACTAACTAGCAGATGGGTAACATAGTGTATGCTCCTGTTTCTCCTCAAACCATGGAAAGATGACCATCAAAATCTAGCCGTCTGTTTAACAACAAGCTCATCAGTGTAAGCTGAATGTTGTCTGGCTTCCAATTACTTCTGCTGCTGCACTTTGGAAAAGGAGCTGTCCAGCAAGAACAGAAACAAATATAATCTAATAAATATCCAGAGGAACCAGGAAAAGTGTTAAGTTACCATCAAACACTATCAAGAGAGATAAGTGAAGGTAAATTTATTGCTTTTCCAGGAGAGGTGTCTGTACTGCGAAAGTACATGCTACAGATGAACTGAAACTATCCTCTGTCTCCCACTCAGAAAACCCATATGAGTAATTTTTTATTTTTATTTTTTCATGTTGACCATAGATATACCAGAGATTTCTAAGCAATGTCTAAAACTGTTTGTTGTCTGAGTGGTGATGAAAGGAGCTGAAATGTTAATGACTCACTAGTGGTACCTCTGTGGACATAGAACAAACATTTCTGTTACTCATAGTCTTCCAATTGCACACTCAGAGTCTTAAAAAGAAGTAGAAGATCAAGACCTTCAGTATATGTGTATGCTAAGGTCTTGATCTGCATCCAGTCAAGAGGGACAGGATACATTTCAATTCAGTGTGGACTTCTGTATCTGAACTACTTGCCATGAGTTCTCTTTATAGTCAATAGAGGGAAGGTCAATAGAGTCAAAAGATTTTAAGATGTAATTCCTCTTATCCTAAAGCAGACAACAGATTTTGTTCAGATCAATCTCACTGTAAGCTCTATTGACTGTATTGACCAAATCTCCTTTAACTATAATGGGATGACTAGCTCAGACACAAACTTATAGCGTGGATAGTAAAAGCTAGATAAGGTAATTTCTACCAGGGGAATTTATGTCATCTACAATGTGCACTTCCAGAAGCTTTGTTTGGGAAAAAAAAAGATGGCCAAAAAGATGAAGGAATGAGTCAACACAAAAGAAATATTGAGATAAGAAGCACATATCTTAATTGCTATCTTCTGTTGAATGTATTATTTTATTTGGATTGCCTTCTATTATGTCAGTCCTCCTTTGACAGGACTTTATGGCTAAGGACTGTATTCTAAGAGGTAAATCTAATGTCAGGGGAAGATTTATGAGATATGGGATGAAAGGCTCAGGGAGCAAAGTCAGAGTCAGACACCAGTCTACAAGACCCTCAAGGCTTCCAGAGCATGTTAACCCAACCCAGCGAAAACAGCATGAAACAGCACTGAGCAGTACTGGAAATGAACATTAATACAACCTCATGATACTGAATTTATTTATTTCCTTATTTTTTCTTCATTGACATGAGAGTCATTCACTTCTCTTCATTTAGTTAATCAAAAAGGACAATAGTTTCCTGCCTGGAATGAGGCCATATTTTTACATATTTAGTTTTTATGATATTTACACAGCAGTTGGAATTTAAAAAGACTGTCATTAAAGCTCCATTCCAGCATTCCATCAGATAAACAACAAATTATCTGGGTTGATTAAGTTCACCTTGATAAAGAGGTCAATGTCTGAGGCATCATCTGCTGACAAAGTCATAGCCACAACCTTCAGAAGGAATATTTGTTAGTAATTAACTTCAACTTCCAGGATAAGAATTTAAGGGCTTTACTTTGGCTTTGATCTTTTCCAGGTCAAACATCTAGATTTCACTGGCCTCTGAGTGCAGTGAGCAAGCAGAAGGCACAATGTTTATGCAGTGCTTTCCTTGGATTATGAACAGTGGTTTTGTGACTTATATTATACTATTAATCCAACCAGACATATGAATTTCTTGAACCACTTGCACAGTCAGTTTGAAAAGACTCTTGCCCAGTTTTACTGGCAGAAAAATAAACAATTATATAATTCAAAAGACGTCCATCATGTATCTGATATAGGTTGGATAATTCCCCCGAACCCTGTTACATTCGTTTATTCAAACATTAACAAAAGAATTTGCTCAGAGTTTACCAGATCTGAATATGGCAAACGGATGAGTAATGTGTTCCGCTTTCAGTGGTGAGGCAGGAAGGAAATTCACATGCACTAGCGTATATACATCTACAGACAACTTTTTTTTTTTTTTTTTTTTTTTTTTCCAGAAACTACTTCATTTAGGCAGATAGTGAGCACCTGAGCAATACTGTAAAAGCAAAGTTAGGGATTTCCAAGTTCCTCTGAAGTGTCATAATATTTTCTGATCATCTGTACTAGAAGGAAGAAACATCCTTGTGAATGGGAGGGAACCAGGAAATAATTCTGGGGGTGGATTAGTCTTAAATTCCATGCTTTTAAACAGTTATTTAGACAGTTGAAGCCACTATGCATTCTGAGAGCAAGAATTCTGACTTCCTTTCTACAACAATTTCTCAGCCCACAAGCCTTTTCCTTATCAAAAATAGTGTATTGCAGAGTTCTGATGTGCCTGTCAGAACAGAAAGAATGGTAACTTTACAGCTGGAGCCAGTACAGTGCTGTACACTGGTGGCTGATGACCTTCACCATGCTGTAGGATGCATTTAACACCTTCTCAGACTGCATTGCCAACAGTTTAATTTCTATGTGAAAATATCTCAGTTTTAGTGACTGGCAGAAAAATTGAATATATGTTGTTTAACCTGGCTTCTGGATCCTAAATGTTTCTTAAGTTAGTCTTATACCTGCTTTCATAGCTGTCCTGAAACTGATTCAAGAAGTTCATGTGAAATGACCAATAGTATAGAGAAAGTCATTGGATCAGACAAGATTAAAATGGTCTCGGACCCATTTGACTTCTATTATTGCCTGGTACCTTGACCCACATAGTGTGTCTGAAGGATGGTTACAAAGCTTTGTAAAAATCTGGCTTCTGCATCATTCCTGGATTGTTTCCAGAAACAAATATTAGCAGCTCACCATGATCTTTCCTCTTGGCAATATTCAGCTAAATGACTGTGTGCTTTCAACTTCACTGACGTTAAGTCCAAGATAATGTCACTGGAATCAAGAATGTGAAATTCAGTTCTGTTTCTTCAACTCCATTGACTTCAGGAGACTTCATATCTGTAAGGCAGAGAATACACCAGGTACTCCTCACTCTTTCAGCATTCACATTTGGCCCCATTTGGTCATGTCAACACTTGGAAACTATCCTGGCAAGTAAAATAAGATTGGGTTCTTGGTATCACTTCAGATAGTTATCCTTTTTTTGATAAAACTTTTCTTTATACCAGTGGTGTATGCTTTCTTCTAATATGTAGACTGCCGAAGGTATTAAATCAGAACTCAATACAAATAACAGTTTGTTTAAAATACAAATGACTGAAAAAAATATAAAATCCTTGGGATAAAAAAAAATAAAAAATAAAAGGGTTTAGCTTAGGTGGCATCTAAGCAGGTTAATAAGCAACTTGTTCAATCGTGTCCCTTGCCTAGAAAACAGCAGCCATACTGACACCAATACAAATACAAATAGGAAACACAGAAAAGGAGTGATATGCAAAGCAATATGCAGACAGCGTATCTGAAGGGAAAGGGTTGGAGAAGTAGAGAAGTAGGAGCTAGTTTTACCACTTTTTTTTTTTTCTTTTTCTGTCACAACAGAGAAACAGTTACAAATCAGTTACTATATTAAAAGTGGGTGAAGATGTACACCAAACAAGGAAATCCATGATATTATTCCCTCTGCTTTGTTCTGAGTGAATCTCAGGAAGTCACCCACTCTGCTGTATAGGTTTTTGTGAGAACTACACCGTTCATCATATCAGGGGGAAAACCCATCTTTGTGTGATGGGTTTTGCTGCTGCAGTTCATCTGCCTGAATGTTTGATCTGCTACTCTCATTAGTTTTCCTGTCATGGTCTTGCCAGGAATGAACACACACTGTTCAGAAATCGGTCTCTCCTGGCCTTTTAGAAACATGTGACTCATTTCCTTCCAACAGTGACATCCATTATCAAAAGTGTAAGCAGAAATAAACCAGTTATCTTGGACCATCAGTGATTTGAATATCTCTATTAATCATTTAACCCTGAAAATGTGTGCCAAAGTATTCAAAATATTCATCAGCTTGAGTGGGATTTGTTTCCCTTTCAAAATCTTTGAAACTCAGGCCAGTTTGTGGAACTGGACTACTGCAGGAGGACTTAAGCTTGGGTTCCAATTTTTAAAGTTTTTGCCTTCATTAATTTTATATTTAAAAAAAAAAAAAAGTGGGGGTGTGGAAGAGGGGGGTGACACGACACAATATGAGTGCATTATACCCAAGGAGAAAAGAAGAATTATCTGCGGGCATATAGCCATATCAATTAGGTAATGAGAGACATTGTCAACAGACCACTAACTTGACCTAGAATAATTTCAGCTTAGCTGATTGGCACTTAGTAGCTTTGATGATCACTTGCTGAAAGCTTGCCACTTATCTGTACACCATGCTGTCCTGTACACAACATATACAAGAATTTTTCAGGCTCAGCCTCACAGAATCACAGAATAGCTGAGGTTGGAAGGGAACTCTGGGGATCATCTGGTCCAACCCCATTGCCAAGCAGGGTAACCCAGAGCACGTTGTACAGGATGGTATCCAGTTAAGTTTTGAATATCTCCAGAGAAGGAGACTCCACAACCTCTCTGAACAGCCTGTCCCAGTGCTCTGTCACCCTCACCACAAAGAAGTGCTCTCTCATATTCAGTGCCCTCTCATATTTTGTTCCTAAGTGGAACAACAATAAACTACAAATTCTCCATGAGAGGCTCAGCACCATGCATGTGATCTGTGATGCTTTGTTCCCAAGCAATAGTAACATCCCTACATCCTTACCATAGCCAAGGAGACACAAGGAGACTGCATACAAGACTTTTGTACTGGAGAGAAGAGAATAAAGTGATGTAGCAACAGTGCTGCTGTTAATATCCTAAGAAAGACATCGTGAAGTCCTTTCCTATCCAACATTGCTACTATGCTCATGATCATAATATTTGTATTTTGCCTTCCAAGCATAAGTGAATCCAGAGAGAGAGAAAGTAATGCAAAAACTCCTCAGGCTATTTTTTTCTGTATACAAGACTGTGGAATGAGTATGATTTCATTTGGGCTGGAACCTGGGCCAAGAAAAATGTATTTAGTCCCACAGATATTCCATATCTTATATTCCTGTAGTGGAAGACTTTGATCAGAGTACTCTGAAAGTGTTTACATTATTATCAACATGTCAAGGTAGTGAAGCTTGCCCCTCACTGTGCTCCTATTAGCTGCCATGTGTGATTTGAGAACTCCCTATAGGGAAAGAAAAAATGGAATCAAGCTCATCAGAACTGTGTTGCCCCGCCTTTTATTATTATCATAATTGTTATTATTATTATCATTATTATTATTATTCATGGCTAATGCATGATGCTTCTTTGTGGGACACTTCTTGTTTTCTCTATCTTTTCCCCTGGGGTTCTTTGGTTATGCCAATCACTTAAAGAGAGGATAAAGGCAGATACATGGTAAGGGAGGGACAGTGTGCCCTCCAGCTACTTTGTCCAGCCATAGACAATTTTCACCACATAGTCTTGCTTCTCTAGGCATAGTGGGGTATGCTTTTATATTCTATCCTTTCTGAACTCATTATCATCAAAATTCAGTGACATTGGTGCAAATTAACACCTGGTCTCTGTTTCTAAAAAAAAGAAAGCCTATCAGGTGGACACTTAAAAAAATCAATTCCCATAATAAAGACAAGGATATTAAAAAGAGAGAGAAAAAGAAACACGCAGAGATGACAGAGTGCAGCTCTCCCACAGAAACAGACAGAGTGGCAGCCAGCCATTGTTCCGAAAGGCAGCATCAGCACCAAGAATCAGATGACTAAGCTCCTGATAATGAATGAAATATTTTCCCTATGCTGAAAAAATTCTGGCACTGCAGAAGGACTCAGGATAAAAGAAGCAACTTGAAGGGCCTTTCTGAAGGACACCATCAGATACCCTACTGCTACAAGAAATTCCAGTCCCCTAAAGAGAAGAGATGGTTGTGGATGGTGTTAGGGGTAAAGGGATACAGTCTTAAATTAGTGAAATTAATGACTTAAATAGACTTAATGGAAATAAATTTGAATAGCATTTTCTGCTAAACAGTATCAGTTGTGTTGTGAGAGGCATGACACAGTGTTGGTCAGGATTAGAGCTGTCTCTGAAAACAAAACAAAACAAAACAAAAACACACCAGAAGAACCTGTATAATTCTGAGTCTTGCAAGTGAACAAAGAGCATTTTGAAATGCTAACCCATGCCCAGATGTTTATTGTCACTCATCTGCTGAAATGTGGGGAGACAAAGCAGAGCTGGAAAGGAACATGGTACCTACATCTTAGCACAAAAACACTTCAACACACAGATGGGGAGTGTTCAAGTCTTAAAGGGAAATTCACGAGGACTCATCTCCTCACTTGACTGGAGATTCTTGCTATCACAGCTGTCTTCTGACACTCCACACAGAGGTAATGTATTTCTGCATTGTACTAATGTGTCGTGCATGTACCAGTGTGATGTTTACCCAGCACATCATGTTGCTGGCACTGTGACCCTAAGTTAGGCAAAAAGAAGACATTGACCAAGTGAAGAGTATTGGGAGGAGGCATTCATAAGTCAATGCCATCTCTGACAGTATCAGTGCTATCCAACTCTACTGGGACTATGTGTAGATGTTTCAGATCTCCCTTACCAGAATGAAAGACAGAAATTTGAGGAAAGTAAAAGGTCCAGGTGTCCACATATAAGATCATATATACATATATAGTTATATATTTACATGTTAAGAATGTAATATTATATATATTTTATGGTGAGAAGTTGCAAGCAAAAGAGAAGGGCTTACAGTATAAACTGGGTTTTAGAAAGGTCTTCCTTCTCCTGGTAAAATGTCTTCTGAGATAGAACGCCTCCATTAAAGTAAATTTTCATCCACTTGACTTTATGCATTTTAACTCATGGGCTAAAAAGTTTGCAAAAGTTTACAATGCTACTGAAAATATTAAAAACATGCTGAGATTTATTCTCTTAGAAGAATTACTATAGGCAATATAGACTTCCCTTCAATGCAGCCAAGCAGATGGACAGGTTGGGTATCATTTGAAGATTCTGGAAGTAGCAACACTATTAAGAGTGACCCATACAATTCTACTACACAGAGACCTAATCCTCTCCAAAAATCAAGTTTAGTCATGACAGAAGCTTTGATTCAAGGTTTGCTCTTGCATTTGCAAACCAGAATATCTTCTCTACTGATGTGGTAAAAATATTTTGAATGACATATACAAAGCTAGGATCATATCTGAAAGTCAAAATCAGAGCTGGTTTCCTAGTAATTCTATTCTCTTTATTCTGAAAACTAGGTAATTCTGAACAGCATTATATTTCTTACATTAAATATCAGACCCAAAGTTCAAGGCTTCAGTGGGGACACGGCATCTACAAAGCCTTCATTAACAGTGCTGTGAGACTTTGAAGCTCCGCTGTGCAACTATTAGCTGATATTTAACAAACAAAGATGTAGGCCTATGTGTTGTTTGTGGCTAAGCAGGTGATGATTTTCTCTCCACCGCCACCAGTCAAGGACTTTCCACTACCAGGACCCAGCGTCCAGCACTGAGGTCAGGGTGTGAGTGTTCAGAGGTTCAGGCTGCAGCAGGGGAAAAGGGAAATGTTATCTCCATTGATTTCTAGTTCAAAGAAAGCCTTTTGCTTTCACACTTTGAAAAACACAGACTATCAGATCATCTCACAGCCAGGCTAATAGTGGAGTTTGTTCTATTTCATGGTTAACATATTACGTTTAATGCTTGCAGGAATAGAAACTGCTCAGATGGCAATTCCCTCTCTGTACTCATTAAATTCTCTTACAAATCTATAGCCTATTAATACCAATGAGATTGTTCTCAGTAACTCACAGACTTAAAACCAAACTAGTTGGTCCAGTTTTTCCCTACAGATAAAAGCAATTGTATTCAGGGAGTTTCTATATAGTGACAAAGGAAAATAAGTATTTTTACTTACTTTCTAATAAGATGGCATATTTTAGAGACAAGCTCTAAAGCACTCTAAAGCACATGTACATACTGTTTTAGATTGTGAAATCCCATTTTCTGGTAACACTTATTTGATGAGCAGATGGTAAGAAGTATGTTTTTATGCAAAGATAAGGTCAGGCTGCAGGATATATTAAACATGGCACCAGTACTGCAGAAACAATGAGGATCAAGTATACCTGTGGATGACCTCACAGGAAGGGGAGCAGAAAGACAAACAGAATACAAGCTAGGATATGTTAAGAGATTATTAGTCTGATTAGGAGCATTAGATACGTTAAAGCAAGAGAGATACATAGCAAATTCCAATAAATGGGGGAAATGGGGAAATGATGAATGCTATAAGACAAAAAAAAAAAAAAAAAAAAAAAAAAAAAAGCCAATTTGATTCTATGTCATTTCAAGCACCTACAAATTTTGTGAATTTCACTCATTTATTCACCTGAATTTGCATTCCCTGCTGGAGAAGTTATAAAGGCAGCTGACAGCCTTAGATCAGCGGACATTAGCAGAAAAAGATTTAATTTCCAGAAACTTTTTTCATTTTTAGTGAGACAGGTTATGAGTGATGGTAAACAGACTACTGTTTAAGTGCACAAAGATATACATTTCTGTTACGTCTTCAGTGTGGGATGGCAGAGGAAGCTGTGTAACACTTCCACACATTTTATATGCTTTTGCCTTTGTAGAAAAATGAGGTTTCATTTGTTTAAAGAAATCTTTTTATATAATACTTCATTGTTTAATACATAGAAAAAAAAAGAATAAAAATAGAATGACTGAGTATGAAAAAAAAAAAAGAATAAAGACATAAACTTCTGTGTAGTCATGTAGTCACTACTACTACTACTACTACTACTACTACTACTACTACTACTACTACTACTAATATCACAGTGAAGATCCATGGAGGTTGCAAAATTTATTGCAGTCAAACTAACTGGTGAACATAAATTATGCCTCTTCCATTAAACCTCATCTCCAAGGAAAATTAATAAATGCTACAGATCTCTCTAAAGGTCTTGTGCATTTGTCAGTGGAGGTTTGCTCTTCCATTCTTCACATATTGATCAAAATGAACACTGTCACACTGTGCCTGTGGAGTACAATGAAAGAAGGGGGATTTGCCCCAGTTGTGGACTTACTCTGAAAAGATTCCCGAAGTTCAGAAGTCATCCAGCCCCAGTGAAATTCACCCAAATGTGGCATACGGTCATAAAAGAATCTTAAAAGAAACACAAATAATAGCTAGGGTATGTAATCACATTGAGAAACTGTTTGGAAAGAGATACATTTTCTGATTGCTTTGTAAATGGTCCCAAGACTTGCATAAATGCCCTGGCTAACATGACTACACAAACCCTCTACTAGCAAAGGCAAATAAGATAAGGATTTTTTGTTCTGTTGCCATTCAGTCTTTGAAGCAATGATGGTCTAGACAAACCAAGTTTTGCTTAACCTCCTGTTAAAGATGAAATATACCTAGAAAGAAAACACATAAAGTTACTATGTTTTAAATGTGGGGGAAGGAGATGAATTGTAGTACTACATACAACTCAAAAAGTTTTGTACTTTTCAGAGTCCGTTTTCTGGCAGCTATTTTCTGAGAATACCATTAATGCAAGCAAACAACCAATCTGTATCAGAAAGTAAGAGAGCATAAGAATTAAAATACTGACATTTTAAAGTGAAGCTAGGCCTTCAGCATTCACATCAATGAGTTACCAAGTCATACATGTATACGCCTCTGAAAGTATGCCAGCTTGCATTGTGGCTGCTTGTGTAGCTGGAATTGAGCACTGTTATTACACTTTTTTCTAACAGGAATAACACATTTTCATGCCTGGAAGGCACTTCAGAAAATGATCAGGTAGTAAATCTAACAAGATAAAAGCCATTCTTCTTGCACTGCATGTATCACAGTTGTAGATGTGAAGCACAACACTCTGAGTAGGTTGAAAAGAGGGTTGGCTGATACATAAAGGAAAGACCCACTGCTGGATGTTAAATATGATTATCTGGAGAACCAACAGCTCAGAAAGCTCCCAAGTTGGTGACTGCTGGAAGAGGGCTAGGTGGAGTTTGTCTTGTGTGGTTTAGAATTGTGTTTCTGTGTGCTTCATCTTGGCTGCAGCTCTTCCTCTCACAGTTCATTAGGACATTTTGGAAGTGTCATATCTCACAATGAAGTAGGAAATAAGAGAGATCCATTTCTCCATTTCCACTTTCTTACCCCCTATTGGTTCCACATGATTAAGTGTGTTAATTTGTCATAGCCATTAATTTCATAGTTTCCCTATGGCATTAGTTGTGGCTTTTTGAGGTAACATATTTTCTCCTTACTACAAAGGGAAAATATGTGGTAAAAAAAAAAAAAAAAAAAAAGGAAAGAGATCAGAGTAAAATGTGAGAAGCAAAGGACTGAGGGGGCAGAGATGGGCAGAGATATGTATGAAGCAGGCTGGTATTTGTCTCTTCCTTAAATAAATATATATATATTTTAAGACAGTGCTTTGAGGAATTTGGCTGATTGACAGTGGAGATAGAGATTGATACGGTCAACCCGTCTCTGGACCACAGGATTGTAATTTTTGTATTGGAAAACAGCTGTAGATGAAACTGAGGAAAATAAAGACTTACCTCATCTTCAGATAAGTCCACTGTACCTGGGAGTATTTGCACTTCTGACTGCAGGAGTTATTCTTATCTTCCCCAGATCTGGATAGTCATGCCACAAACTACAGCATTGTGCCTGCCAGTGCCGTACCATTAGGATTTCTTGTGATGCAGTGGAGCTGTTCAAACTCTAAGATAAATATGTCTGTCTTCCTGGGCACACCAGGAGATGTGTGATCGTTCTGGGGAATGCTCAGAGCTTCACTGATGTATCTGGCATCAGCAGGGCAAGGAAGTTGCTGGATTGAGTGAGGGATAAATCTGCTCTCTGAGTTGCATGACTGAGGTGATCTTTGTGATGGTTGAGAGGAAGAGGGGAAAATCCAAATACGATTTTACATTAAATCTGGAATGAGGATATCCCCTAATGGAAGTTGAAGTCTGGTTATTGATTTTCTTTAGGTTGCAAACTCCTTGTAAGTCTAGGATGAACCTCACCTTGATTCTTCTTGTTGCTGTGCTACCACTGAAAACTGATTCATTGCTGACAGTGAAAAGGATATTTTCTCATAGGATCTGAGACAACTTGCATTCTTATTGGAGTTTCAAAGAAAACAACTTATTATCATCAAATGTCAAAGTTTGACAAGCATGCACGAGTCTCTATCCCACCCCCGTCTCTCACCTCCTCTCATCTCCAAATCAATATATATTCTGTTTAGGTTTCTGTTAGTATTTTTGTATTTTTCTTAGTGGAATCTAGACATAACGTAGAATCACTTTGTGATACAGGGTACAAACCCAATCAAGATGGCATTCAACTTATGCCAGTAAAGTAAACAGTAGATGAGAGGTGTTTTTGTCATATGGTGATGTGGCCAATGAAATTAAATGATACAACTCCAAGTTTAGGTTATCTGTGATTCAACCTGATTCTAGCATAGAGGAAAACAAAATCTTAACTATGAAAATGATACTATAACAAACTGGAAAACAAAATATGACACTATGACACTGGTGCTATGACAAACTGGAAGTAAACCATTAGGGTTTTGCTTATAGTCTTCAAGGTTCCAGATGTTGTTTTGGTGGCTGCTATAACCTACTTGCTGTGAAGAAGCTATTTCTGCTGGGGACTAGAGTCAGTCTAGGTAGTTAGCAAATTTATTGTTAGTATCAGACTGAACTCTGACAGCTTTATATAATTCTATTCTATTCTATTCTATTCTATTCTATTCTATTCTATTCTATTCTATTCTATTCTATTCTATTCTATTCTATTCTCAGAGCTCTCCTCCAGTAAGGAGATTCTCTATGTGGGTGTTTCAGTTAATTGACAGCTTTGTTTTCTAAAGGAGAAGATACAAGGGAGAATCTGCCCTTTTAAACTATCCAATCTTTGTTCATTTTCACAAGTCTAAAGCAATTAAGCTAGGATAATAAAAATGCTTTATGCTATGTACAAGGAAAAACCACATCCCAGCTCTCCTCCCCTGAAGATATTCCCCCCCTTGCCTCAGTCCTGCTTTTCTGCTCTTTTCTTTGCATCTCATCCAAGAAAAGTACCTACTTCTTATTGTGCATCATTCTGAGTTTTTGCCAAAATCCTTGTTCCTGCTTTCTTTGATACTATGGTAAGTTTTTCTTCAGCCACAGCTAAAGATTTTATTTATTTATTTTATTAATTCATTTATTTATTTATTTATTTATTGATAAGTGCAGAGCTCATATTTTCCCTTGACTTACTGGCAGTAAAATATTGTCTGATCAGATGTCTAAGCACAATGGTATTCGCATCCAAGGATGACATTTTTACCTTTCAAAGAAAAACAGAGCTTCACTTGAAGATAAAAAGGCAGAGAGCTGAAGAATGTAAACAGAGTTTACATTCTCTTATCACAGTTAAAGGAGAAAAGAAAAAAAAAATACCCCAAACTATTTTAAACAGAGGCCCAATATAAGGAAGTCTGCAAAACCACTTCCCATTTCATAGGACAGGATATGCCAAAGAAATTATACAGCTTGGCACGAATAACAAAGATAATTTCAACTTTATTTAAATATTACAAGGACATTTAAAAACCTCTTGGGATATAAATCCTATTTTGATTACATTCTTCATCTTTACTTTAATGTTCAACTTTCTCTGGGTTGAAGGGGAAACTAAAAGATAGTCAAACCTTGTGGTTTTTAAAAATTATGAGCATCCTGTAAGCAGCTCTGGAAATTAAAACCTTACATTTAATCCCTGTGTGAGCCTAGAGAGGAAGCCAGCATATAATCTTCTCCCATTGTTTTACTAGAACTCTTTTATCGCTGATGGCTGACCTGGAAGATGAGAGGTAATTTAAACTCTAATTGTCTCAATAAGAGCCAAGCAAAGTAAACAAAACTATATTAAAACAAACAGACTGCAGCCACTGAATGTACGTTCTGTCAGACTCATCACCCTGGGGACACTGATGGATGGGTCAGGATTCAAATCTTGTAGGCTGGGATCACTGATGAGAGAACCGCCCCTGCTGGCTGCTAAACAGATGGGCACCCTCAGACATACTCAGCCACATACACATTCTCAGCTGATGGAAATCAGTACTTCTCTGCAGAATTCAATAAAGAGATACCAATATTCAACAGCTGTGAATCCAACCTGTAAGATTTTCAGTTTGGGTTAAGCTCAGGATTCAGAAGTGTTGAATCCAAGAACATGGCATGAAAATTCCCTCAGGACTTTGCATTTGTAAGTGCTAGTAAAAACCACACAAGTGTCAAATAAACCTTTCCACAAATGCAGACTGTCTTCTCTTACATACATGTTATATTCAAAGAGAAAAAAAAATAATATTGAGAGAGTGTAAGAATTTAATTAGGAGTGCAATCCTATAGGCATCTAGTTTTTAAACACGTTACATTAGATGGATGAATAATGATATTAAAAGCTAGTAGCTTAAGTGTCACAAGGAGAAAAGTAGGAATTTTGTACCGTTGTGGGGAAAAAAAAAAAATAAAAAAATCTGTTTTCCATTAGGGAATGGTTCTGCAATGTATTGCAAAGAACTGTGTATGGGTTAGTTCTTCCTTCTGTACTGGGTTAAATTCTGCTCCTAAAATGAAAACTCCAGAAATCACTGAGTTAAGAGCAAAAGGAAAGAGTGACAGAAAACCTCAGGGGAAAATGAATGTACACAAAATACACAGGCCCAACGTAAACCTTATGCTCCCACTCCACACAGTGGAAGGCATAATTCAAATCAGGGAAAATGCCAATTAGGCCTACAGCATATATGATATACTCTGCTTAAATAAACCAACATGACCCTTCCCTTTTATTCCGTGCCAAAACATGAAAAAAAAATCAATGCAAAAAGTCACTTTTCCATGTCGTAGGAGATGACAGTAGTGGTCTCACTAAGCAAAGCCAAATCCTTAAAGTCATCGTGGACAGCATCTATCCACACACAAAACACTGATCAATTAAATCTGTTCTGGAAAGAAGAGTTGCACATGTTAAAGTTTTATACTTTGATTTTTTGTTTTGTTTGTTTGTTTGTTTGGTATTACTCTTTGTTATTCTGTACATTAATACAGACAATGTAGAGGCAACAAATC